ACTGAACAAATGGCCTCTTTAGTGTCATTAAAAAACATGACTAGATCAAGAGATTTAAAAAAGCAGTAAAAAAAATGTTAAAGCAGTTTTCGTTGTCCATTCATATCTGGTATAGTTACTGATGGTGCCCCAGCAATGGTAGAGAGACTTGTAAAATTAATAGAAGATGATGCATTTGCTGCCCCAAATTCACCTTTGATGAAGCATTGTATAGTACATTGAGAAAATTTATATGCAAAAGCTTTAAAAATGGATAATGTCATGCAAATTGTCATCAAGACTGTGAATTTCATACAGCCTAAGGGATTGAATCATTGCCAATTCCAAGAATTCCTGGAAAGTTTTGATGCTGATTATGGCAACATTCTTCACTTTTCAAAAGTAAGATGGCTAAGTTGAGGCCAGATGTTGAAAAGATTTTATGATTTGCAACATGTTATTAAGTCTTTTATGATATCAAAAACCAAATTTTTGTTAGAACTTGATGATAAAAACTGGCTTATAGATATAGTATTTTTAGTGGATTTAATCCCTCCTTTAAATAACTTAAACACATATCTTTAAGGTGAAAACCAACGTATCAATACAATGTTTCAAACCATAACAGTGTTCCAAATGAAACTGAAGTTATGGCAAGCTCAAGTTAAGGGAAACAGTTTCATGCATTTTAACATGTTGACTAAACACAGTCCTGTGTACAGTGAAAAACATATAGCTTTGGTTTTTGATTTGATACAAGAATTTGAAAACGGTAGGGCTTAGTGGCTCATACCTGTAATCCTAGCACTCAGGTAGGCCGAGGCGGGTAGATTGCCTGAGCTTATAGGTTTGAGACCAGCCTGAGCCAGAGCGAGACTGTCTCTTGAAAATAGCCAGGCATTGTGGCAGGAGCCAGTAGTCCCAGCTACTTGGGAGGCTGAGGCAAGAGAATTGCTTGAGCCCAAGATTTTGAGGTTGCTGTGAGGGTGACAAAGTGAGACTCTGTCTCAAAAAAAAAAAAAATTTTTTTTTGAAAACAGATTTCAAGATTTCCAGGAAAATAATGACTATTTTGGTGTATTTGCAACTGCATTTTTAGCAGACATAAATATGTTATCTGTCAATTTTCAAATGGAATACATAGAGCTATAGTCTGACATTCAACTTAAGTAAAAATCTGGTCATGTTTCTTTAGTGGACTATTTTCCTAGAGACAAATATCTCTTCACATTCATGCCTTTCATGTCATTGCTTTTTTTTTTTTTTTTTTTTTGAGACAGAGCCTCAAGCTGTCACCCTGGGTAGAGTGCT